GAGGAGGAGGAGGAGGAGGAGGAGGAGGAGGAGGAGGAGGAGGAGGAGGAGGAGGTGGAGGAGGAGGGAGGGATCGGAAAGGGATCGGGAAGGGAGGACATCTCTGCTTTGACGTATCATGCCATACTGTTTGGCAGTCAGACATTGTGGTTTGGAGTACGGTGCCCCGCAGGAGAAGCAGGCGTCGAGGACCCTGGGCGCGGCGGGCGTGTGTGTGTGTGTGTGTGTGTGTGTGCGCTGGACGGCGCCACGCGGCGTGCCGGGCCAGCCTACGGTGCGCGCTGCCGCCGCGCGCGCGGAGGCGTAGAGGCGCTCCAGAAGCGGTCTGGCCTTCGAGCATCGATCGGGTGTTGCCAGAATTAGGTCGGGCATGTCCTCCTACAGGCGGATTTTGGACAAAAAGAAATAGAACGGTGCCAAAAGATGTTCAAACACATCCAGAAAATGCTCGAACAAATCGTCCCCATTTTTTTTGACTATTTGGGGAAATTCCTCCTACAGAGGGACATGCCGGACTTAATGCTAGAAGTGCCCCTGGCCCAAGGTGCCCCCAGGACTTCCCCAAGTAGGCCCCCGCGGCCTCCAGAGCACCCCATCACGAGGTCCAGAGGGCCCCAGAGTTTCTCCAAAACGCAGCAGGCAGCCTTGGGCCAGGGGCACCTTTTGGCAACCCCCGACTGTCTTCGGAGAATAAGGGCTCCCACGAGGGCGCGAAGTTAGTCGCGCTTCGCGCCTCGCGGGCCTCATTCCTCCTCCCCCTCCTCCTCGTCCTCCTCTTCTCCCCTTTGGGGGCGGCGCGAGAGCGCGAGGTTGTTCGCGCTTCGCGCAGCGCGAAGCGCGAAGTTAGGAGCCCCCCGACTGCCTTCGGAGAAGGAGGCTCAGCGAGACGGCCTCGACGAGTTGGCACCCCTGCCCCGGCGGACGGCGGTGGCAGGCCGGCCGGAGGGCGGCGGGAGCAGCACGAGGCCGCCTCCGCTGGCGGCGGAGTCCGCCACCGCCCACCAAACCACCCCAACCCGACCCGAAGGCCCCGATTTGCCCTCCATTTCCGGTGGGGTGGGGGGGGCGGGGAGCATTGGAAAAACACATATGAACTCGTACCCCCCCCAACCCGAAATTCGGGCGAAATTCGGGTTGGGTTGGGGTGGTCTGGTAGGTAGTCAGTCCGGTGAAGAGCGGCGGCCAGCGGAAGTGAAAGTCGGCCCCCCCGAGAAGTGGCACAAGGTTTTTCTGGTTCAGGGTCAGGTCGGGCATGCCCCTCTACTACAGGAGGAAGGTTCAAAACTAGCCAACACATAGTCAATACAGCAATTAGAAAAAAGAAGGGATCCTTTTTGTATTTATTTGACTACGTATTTATTTCTTTCAAGAAATCAGTCAACTTCTCATTTTTCTGCTCTGCCACGCAATCCGCCTGTATCGGGCCGGGCGAAAGGGGGGGATTGGGAAAGGGGGGTTACGAAATTTGCTGCATGCAGCTGGTTTCGGCCTCACCGAGGGGCCCATTCCTCGATACATGGCCGCCTCCGGCGCCGGGAGGCGCCGGGAAAATCAGCTACGCGAGCTGATTCTCAAACCCCCCCTTTGCTATCCCCCCCTTTCGCCCGACCCGCCTGTAGGCGGACATGCCCGACCTAAAGTTCAGGGCTTCCGGAACCCGGCACGCGTGCGGGCCGGTCCGGTGGCACGGCGGGCGCCGCCTGCACGCTGAGGTGGCGCGCGGACGGCCCCTTTGGGAGCGGTCGAGGCCGGGCGCCGCGGTGATCTGGGCGTTGCATCGTTTTCGCACCGGGCGTCGACGCCAGGTATGCGACGGTTCGGGGGAGAAAAAGATACGGATACGTGTCGTCCCCCGTCGTTTTCGGCCTTTCCTGGTCCTCCTGGGGAATCCTCGTTGTCACCGCTGGATTCGCCTCGAAATTCTGGTCAGAACGCACCCCAAGAGAGGTCCGAGGACAACACGTATCCGTATCTTTCCGCCCCCCAAACGGTAGAAGAAGGGGGTCGTCTGCGTCGACATCGGCACGTAAGCTCCCCGCGTAAGGTCGCGCGTGAGCGCCCTCACCGCCAATGTGGCGTGACGCGCTCGGCCCGCGTGAGCCGCCGCAGAAGGTCGCTATGTAATCTCGCGTACGACTCTTTTTTGATCGTCACTAAGGTTTCGGGCCTGGGATCATCACTCGGTACGATCGAAATGGATACGGAAAGAATGGGTGCGAAGAGCGACAGCAGTTCCTGTCCATTTTGAAAAGGGTTCGCTGTCGGCGTTGTCGCGGACGTTGTCCATTTGAGACAGGAGGCCGCCTGTCCAACAGCGGTCGCTGTCGGTTGTGGCCAATATTTGTTGTTGGGAATCTTATTCATGTTTCCGTACAGTCAACCGCATAGCAAGGATGGGCAACATTCCCGACGGTACCCCTGCATCCCCCTGCCCCTTCGGCCCATCCTTAGCGACTCTCGCTAGCCAACCCCGCTCGAAAAACGCAAACGTTGCCCTCCAAGGCCCTTGCATCCTTACCGCGCATCCTTATTATACGGGTTGACTTTACCTATTCGGGGCATCCAAAATCACATATCGATCGGGCTCGAAAAATGCAGCAGAAAGACGGGGTCTAGGTCTCCAGTCGATATTTTTCGTGCTGTGGCGGTGTCCGCGCCATGTCGGATTTGAGGGTTTGCGGGGCACCAGGCCCCAAGGGGCAGTCGGTTCGGGGCGGCCCTTGGCACCCCACACACCGCCACCTCTGGCCGCTCCGCGCCCGGTTGAGACGGCTTGGGGCCATTCGGTCGGGGAAACGTAAGACTCGAGTGCGCCAGAACTCGGGTTTGCCGACGTTTTTTGACGAGCGCGTCCTGGATTTTGACGGTCCGGTTTTCGTGGGATGTCTGCAGCAAGGGCTCGTGCCAAATTTCAGATTGGGTCTCGTCGTTTTCACTGATGGCCCCGTCAGGCCAACCCGAGTCCCCCGAACCCGAGTCTTACGGCGACGCCACCCCAACATACTAATACTGGTGTGGGCCCCTCCCCAGGGGTGACGCGCGTACCGAGCAATCTCATAGTACATATGCGTCGTGGCGGGCGCTTTCTGGCCACGCCGCTCGGGAAGCGATGTGCTACAAGATGGGTATACCATGTGTCCGTGTCGGACGCGCGCCTCCAAGGAGGACACTGTCTGCGCGTCCCATTACGTCTCCCCGAATGGGGGCCAGGTGAGGTCGGCCAGGGCCACATCCGCACGAGCGAGGGAAGAGCAAACGGGGTCGAAGCCTGCGCCGACCTTCGCGCGCAGCGGCTTCCCGCCTATGAGGTCGCGCACAGGCGCCCTCCTCTCCGCGCGGCGTGCACTGCTGGCGACCCGCAGGATGTCTTCGCGCGTGAGTCGGCTGCGGGCCTGGGGGGGGTCCAGACATGATCGCGTCGTAACAAGAATCACGACGGGAGGTTTTCGGCCGTCTTCGGCTTCTGGGGGCCCTTACCGGGCCCCCGGACCATCAAAACACGACTCAGGATGAAAAATCGGTCCTGGGGAAAGGGTCGGGACTTCCAGGGATCCCGTCTTGAAAAAAGCAGGACGTCGCATGTCTACGGAAGTGAGGGGGGGTGGGCCTTCTCAGAAGGCGGCGGGGCTTCCCAGAAGCCCTCCAGCCTTTGATGGGCCGCCTCTGTCGTCGGAGACGGCTCAGAAGAGGCCTCGGCAACCTCTCATCATCGGGTGTTGCTGGCAGTGCCCCTGGCCCAAGGTGCCCCCAGGACTTCCCCAAGGAGGCCCCCGCGGCCTCCAGAGCACCCCCTCGCGAGGCCCAGAGGGCCCCAGAGCTTCTCCCAAGCGCAGCAGGCAGCCGTGGGCACCTTGGGCCAGGGACACCTTTTGGCAACCCCCGACTGTCTTCGGAGAAGACTCAGGAGGGAACAACACACACGAACACAACTCATCGTCGATTCCCCCGAAAAAAATAAGGGAAACTGTGGGCATCGGGGGGGACGTCAGCAGCCCAGAAGGGCCCCAGGGGCTCCAAAATGGAGTGAAGAGCTGGGTCAGGAGCGACAAAAGGACGTACACGTACATGAATCCACGCTGCTTTCCAGAGTACGCATTGCGCAAATGTTCGTATAACGCGGTCGGTCTCGCGGATCGAGGGGCCGTGTTCATGTACATAGCTGGGCGCGTACGTCCTTTGTGGGCTCCCTACTGGGGGCACCTTGGGGGCCAGGGGCACCTCTTGGCGACCCCCGACGGCCTTCGGAGAAGCAGGCTCGGAGAGAGGGCCTCCACACCCCGGAAGGCCGGAGCCCTTCCGAGCCCTCTGCGCGGGCCCGCCCCCTCTGCCTCCCCCCTTGGCCGCTCGCCGCCGACCGCGTGAGACCCGCTGACTCCCAGAGATCCCACGCAGAACAAATCAGGACGGAGGTTTCTCGCAGGTTTCGGCCCCCAGGAGCCCTCGCCAGGCCCAGGGGACCGTCAAAGAAGGGCTCAGGCTGCAAAACCGGTCCTGGGGAAGGGGTCGAGCTTTCCGTGGGGCCGTAAAGAAAAAAAACATGACGTCGGATCTCGGGGTTCCCGTCGCTTAGGTCCGCACCCGCACCCGGACTCGGGGTGGCGTCTCGTTGTTGGGTGCAGCCCAGCCCTTTTGGCACAGCAAGAGGTCCCAAAAGCTTCATACATCCTCCTCCGAGAGAGCTTCCACCGAGGGCTCACAAGCAGCACCAGGACCCTGACGTCTCAACTCCCCTCGAGGCTTGCTAGGCAGTCCAGACAGGTCTCTAGGCATGGAGGGCTATGTTTAGGTCGGGCATGTCCTCGAACAGGCGGATTTTGGAAGACAAGTGCAAACGAGTCAAACAATACTGAAACATTTTTTTGACATTTTTTGAACATTCCTCCTGCAGAGGGGCAGGCCCGATTTGAGGCTATGCTGTGCCCCCTGGATAGGGTCAGGGCGGGGGGCCGCCCGTGCGCAAAACACCGCCCGCTGCGCCGTCGAGGACGGTGCGAGTGGAGATGCAGGGCGTCGAGGTCGCGCCGAGGCGGCCGGCGAGGCCGCCGGAGCCGGAGCCGGGCCCCGCGGAGCAGGCGGGCGGTAGAGGAGGAGGAGGAGGAGGAGGAGGAGGAGGAGGAGGAGGAGGAGGAGGAGGAGGAGGAGGAGGAGGAGGAGGAGGAGAGGAGGAGGAGGGGAGGAGGAGAGGGAGGTGAGGAGGTGAAGAGGGAGGAGGAGGAGGAGGAGGAGGAAGGAGGAGGAGGAGGAGGAGGAGGAGGAGGAGGAGGAGGGAGGAGGAGGAGGAGGAGGAGGAGGAGTGGAGGAGGAGGAGATAGGAGGAGGGAGGAGGAGGAGAAGAGGAGGAGGAGAGGAGACTGGAGGAGGGGGAAGGAGGAGGAGGAAGGAGGAGAAGGAGGAGAGGAGGCGGGAGGAGGAGGAGGAGGAGGAGTAGGAGGAGGATGGAGGAGGAGGAGGGAAAAAGGTGTTCGTTTTTTTTGTATTCATTGTTTTGCCGATCGGCGCGGGCCCTCGCCCCCCCCCCCTCCCCGCTTCCCCATAGAGTAGATCTTGGCTGTTTTTGGCCCTGTTTCAAGCAGTGGAGTCTCCCCTACAGGACGCACGGCTCCAAACATCGCACTAAGCAGAGATCCGGAGCCAGAAGACCCTCCCCCCTCCCCCCTTCCGCCCACGTCACAACGCCGAAGAAGAAACCGCCCACGAACAGGTACTCATACCGCCACCCTTCCCTCGTTTTGGGCCTCCTAGGAGGCCCTCGTCTCGACGACGAAAAAACGCCATACACATAAACTTTCGGCGCTCCGCGCGGATTTCTTGGATCCGCGCTGGGCCCCCCTGGCGGCGCCTACGGCGCCGCCCCTGGCGCGCTCTGCGCGCCAGGAAGGGGGGCCCAGCGCAGACTCAAGAAATCCGCGCGGACCGTCGAAAGTTTATGTTTATGGCGTTTTTCTCCTTCTATCGTCGCCACGACTGGATTCGCCTCGAACTTGTGGTCAGAGCGCACCGCGGAAGAGGTCCGGGTATAGTAGCGGTATATCATTGCTTTTTGGCTTCCTCACAGCAGGGCGGGCCCATCCTGTTCCCGAAGTACATGCTGCTGCACAATTGCCACCTGAAGACCCGGGACGTCCTGAGCTTCCACGCGAAGCAGGATCCGAAGAAGAACCCTGAGGTCCTGGCGTCTAGATTTTTTTTGAGCCAGGCGTTTGTTCGCCTGGTTTCGAGCCCTGGGACCCTCACAGATCGACCCGGCTCGAGACATTTCGCAGAAAGATGGGGTCCGGGGCTGTGGTCGTGATTCTTGACGAGGTTTCAATTTTTTCGCGCCGCCAGATCTCAGGGACCAGGCGGCAGAAGCATAAGCTTTGAGAGCTCACCGCGTTTTGTTTGGCAGCCCTGCCCTCCTAGGGCCGACGTGATCATTTTTTTTTGAATCGGTGTTCTGCCGATCGGTGCGGGCCCTCGCCCCCCCCCCCCCATGGAGTAGATCTTGGCTGTTCTTGGCGCCTGTTCCAGGCAGGTGGGGTCTCCCCCGCAGGACGCGCGGTTCCAAACAGCCGCACCAAGCAGAGGTCCGGAGCCAGACCCCGCCCCCGTCCCCCCCCCCTCTCCGCCCACTTGCCACAACGCCGAGTCAGAAGACGTTCACGACACGTCACCATGCCCAAGGTGCGCCCCTTTCTGTCTCCGTCGCGGCGCCGAGTGCCACGGTTGCCCCGCGCGGATTTTTCCGCGCGCAGCGCGCCAGGGGATGCGCCTCCGGCGCCGGGGCGCCTGGAGGGGCCCTCCTCCCCCCCCGCCCTCGTGCTTTGGGGCTCGTGCTCCTCCTCCTCATCCTCCTCCCTTGTCCTCCTCCTCCTGCTCCTCCTCCCTCCCTCCTCCCTCCTCCTCCTCTTCCACCTCCCCGTCCCCCTCCTCCTCCTCCTCCTCCTCCCTCCCTCCTCCCTCCTCCTCCTCCTCCCTCGTCCTCGTCCTCCTCCTCCTCCTCCTCCTCCTCATCCTCCTCCCTTGTCGTCGTCGTCGTCGTCGTCCTCCTCCTCCTCCTCCTCCTCCTCCTGCTGCCCCTCTTCCCCCCCATCCAGCCTCGGCGCGAGCCGGGCGCGCTCCGCGCGCCAGGGAGGGGGGGGCCCAGCGCCGCTCCAGGAAGAGTGGATTTCGAATTCCTCGTGGGTTCGATGTGGCGTTCCGTGCTTCTCAGAAGGACAACCACCAGGTTGTGAGGATGGGGTTTGGAGGAGGAGGAGGAGGAGGAGGTGGAGGAGGAGGAGGAGGGGGAGGAGGAGGAGGAGGTGAGCAGGAGGAGGAGGAGGAGGAGGAGGAGGAGGAGGAGGAGGAGGAGGAGGAGGAGGAGGAGGAGGAGGACGATGAGAGATGACCTGATCATCCGTATCATCGCGTATGTAGAGTGTGCTTCAAGCACAGCCGTGTTCCGTATCTTCCCAGCCTTATCTTCCCAACCCGATAATCGTTTTTCCGGGCTTTGGGGCTCGTGCGGGTGGGAGGCTGGCCATGTGGTTCTGATGCTTGAACTGACGACGGTCACCTGGGCCAGAGTGCTAGGCAATGGGCCTCTAGACCTGTAGACCTGTCCTCGACTGGAGTTTAGATGTCGAGGTCCCGGTGCCATTTCTTGGCCCAATTGGATGGTCAGAGTCCAGCGCCGACCCAAGAAATCCGTGCGGAACTCCAATAGCTTACTTACGAAACTAGCCTGAGACATATTCCTATCTCTTGTGATTGTCATCATCTCATCTCGATGCCAATCTTGATGATCGGGATAAGCTCGAGGATGGTTAGTTTGTGCCAGCTGTGCCGACCCTGAGACCCGATGTTAACAAAGCATGGAAGAATCGCCAACAAATCACGACCAGAGCCCTAGACCCCATCTTTCTGTGGCATTTCCCTAGCCGGATCTGCCCGTGAGGGCTCCGGGGCCCGAAACCGGGCGACAACGCTCAGCGCGAAAAAGAATTGCAAGGCCCGGATCTGAGGGGAGCTCCGAAAGTTCATCTTTATGCCAGCTGCTTTTTCTCCAACGGACGCGGCGACGCAGAAAAGCAGGGTCGGCTGCGCGGACGTTGGCGCCTAAACTGCCCGCGTAAGGTCGCGCGTAAGCGCCCTCTTCTCCACGCGGCGTTCTGCGCGGGCAGCTTGCGTAAGCCGCGGCGTAGGGTCACGATGTCCTCTCGCGCAGGACCCCTTCCTCTTCGTTGTTCAGTTGTTTGCTCAGCCATTCCCAGACGGCGCTGCCGCGAATCCTGAGGTGACCAGGGGGGGGGAGGGGGGGGGAGGGGGCCGGTCACGGGCGTCATCGCGATGAATAACACATGTGTTCGTAAGACCCTCCTCCTCCTACCTCCTCCTCCTCTTCATCCTCCTCCTCATACCTCCTCCTACCTCCTCCTCCTCCTCCTCCTCCTCCTCCTCCTCCTCCTCCTCTTCCTACCTCCTCCTCCTCCTCCCACCTCCTACCTCCTAGTGCTTACCTTCTACCTCCTCCGCATTCCTTTTCCTCATACATAACTCCTCCCTGTCGCACCCCGAGACGTGTCGGTAAGGCGGGTCGGGCGTTTTGCCTGATACCGTCCCGCCATGTATGATCCTGAAGCATAGAGTTTGCAACGGTTTTACGGATGGAGGGCTGTCGTTTTCAAAATGTGGATCTCGTATTATCGCCGCGCACGTTCATCCTAAAAGTTTGCTGGAGTTTCAGGAATGGCGGGTGGTTGGTTTTCAAAATGTGGCTCTTGTCATCGCGCCGCGCATACTTTTTCAAGTTTGCAAGAGTTTTCGCAGGTGGAGAGCGGGTGGTTTTCAACATGCGGCTCTCGCCTTAGCGCCGCGCACATTCGTTTATAACACATTGTAAGGGTTTCACAGATGGCGGGCGGGCAGTTTTCAACATGTCGCTCTCGCCTTGGCGCCGCGCGCACTCGGGTATAAGTTTGCAGCGGTTTCACGGATGGAGGGCAGCTGGTTTTCAACATGTGGTTCTCGCCTAGGCGCCGCGCGCATTCGTCCTGACAGTTTGCAAGAGTATCACAGGCGGAGGGCGGTTGATTTCTCCAAGTGGCTCTCGCCTAGCGCCGCAAGGGTTTCTTGAATAGAGGGCGGGTGGTTCTCAATATGTGGCTCTCGTCTGGCGCCGTGCACATTCGTTCTAAAGTGTTTCCAAGAGGCTTACGCCATTCCCCCGACCCCCAAGAGGAGAGAGGGACGTATGGAAATTGCCTGGTGACTTTTGTTTTCTCGTTGCATCCTTTGAGGAGCCTCTTGCGGCGGTCTTGGGGGCATCTGGGTGGCTTTCGGAGGGCCTCTTGAGGGCCTTTTGGGGGCCTCTTGGGGGCGCCTCAGGGCCCCTGGGGTGCTCTCGGCGCCATCGTGGGTGGAAGGGCTCGAACTGTCACTTCGTATTGCCCCTCTTGGACCCCGCTTGGGCGTCTCTTGGGGCCCACTTGGGCCGTCTTCGGGCCTTCTGGGGCCGCTTTGGAGCCCTCTGAGGCCCTCTTGGGGCTTTCTTGGGTACCGCATGGGCCGTCGGGGGACCATCTTGGAGGCCCCTTGGGCCGCCTTGGCCACTATCAAAACCAAAAGGGCAATTATGTCAAACTAATACGTTTTCCCGAGGGAACAGGATAGATACTTTGTGCTTCTTGGGGCCCTCTCGGCGGTCATCTGGGAGTTTTAATGATTCTTATTCCCAACCATCCTGTGGTGTTGGGTCCTCGTTTTGAAGAAACGGTCCCCGCGTTCTCCTCTCCTCGCCTCTCCTCTCCTCTCCTCTCCTCTCCTCTCCTCTCCTCTCCTCTCCTCTCCTCTCCTCTCCTCTCCTCTCCTCTCCTCTCCTCTCCTCTCCTCTCCTCTCCTCCTCCCTCCTCCCCCTCCGCGTCAGCCACGCCCACTTCGGCACACCCCTCACACGTTTCGTGGCCCCAATAAGGAGTTCCACTGAGGGCTCCAGTGGCTGCGTTCACATGGCGGCACCGCGCTCATTTCGGCACACCCCTCACACGTTTCGTGGCCCCATAGGGAGCTCCACCGAAGGCCCCAATGGCTGCGTTCGCATGGCGGCACCGCACCCATTTCGGCACACCCCTCACACGCTTCGTGGCCCCATAGGGAGCTCCACCGAAGGCCCCAGTGGCTGCGTTCGCATGGCGGCACCGCACCCATTTCGGCACACCCCTCACACGTTTCGTGGCCCCATAGGGAGCTCCACCGAGGGCCCCAATGGCTGCGTTCGCATGGCGGCACAGCAGTCATTTCGGCACCCCTCACACGTTTCGTGGCCCCATAGGGAGCTCCACCGAAGCTCCAGTGGCTGCGCTCGCATGGCGGCACCGCGCCCATTTCGGCACACCCCTCACACGTTTCGTGGCCCCATAGGGAGCTCCACCGAGGGCCCCAGTGGCTGCGTTTGCATGGCGGCACCGCGCCCATGTCGGCACACCCCTCACACGCTCCGTGGCCCCATAGGGAGCTCCACCGAAGGCCCCAGTGGCTGCGTTCTCATGGCGGCACCGCACCCATGTCGGCACACCCCTCACACGTTTCGTGGCCCCATAGGGAGCTCCACCGAGGGCCCCAATGGCTGCGTTCGCATGGCGGCACCGCACTAATTTCGGCACACCCCTCACACGTGTCGTTGCCCCATATGGAGCTCCACCGAAGGCCCCAGTGGCTGCGTTCTCATGGCGGCACCGCACCCATTTTGGCACACCCCTCAAACGTTTCGTGGCCACATAAGGAGCTCCACCGAGGGCTCCAGTGGCTGCGTTCGCATGGCGGCACCGCGCACATTTCGGGACACCCCTCACACGTTTCGTGGCCTCATAGGGAGCTCCACCGAGGGCCCCAATGGCTGCGTTCGCATGGCGGCACCGCGCCCATTTCGGCACACCCCTCACACGTTTCGTGGCCCCATAGGAAGCTCCACCGAGGGCCCAGTGGCTGCGTTCGCATGGCGGCACCGCACCCATGTCGGCACACCCCTCACACGTTTCGTGGCCCCATAGGGAGCTCCACCGATGGCCCCAGTGGCTGCGTTCGCATTGCGGCACCGCACCCATTTCGGGACACCCCTCACACGTTTCGTGGCCTCATAGGGAGCCCCACCGAGGGCTCCAATGGCTGCGTTCGCATGGCGGCACCGCATCCATTTCGGCACACCCCTCACACGTTTCGTGTCCCCTGACGGAGCTCCACCGAGGCCCCCCGTGTCTGCGTTCGCATAGGCGGCACCGCACCCATTTCGGCACACCCTCACACGTTTCGTGCCCATAGGAGCCCCACCGAGGCTCCAATGGCTGCGTTCGCATGGCGTTTCGGCACCCCTGGTTCGTGGCCCCATAGGGAGCTCCACCGAGGCCCCAGTGGTTGCGTTCGCATTGCGGCACCGCACCCATTTCGGGACACCCCTCACACGTTTCATGGCCTCATAGGGAGCTCCACCGAGGGCTCCAATGGCTGCGTTCGCATGGCGGCACCGCGCCCATTTCGGCACACCCCTCACACGCTTCGTGGCCCCATAGGGAGCTCCACCGAGGGCCCAGTGGCTGCGTCGCATGGCGGCACCGCGCCCATTTCGGCACACCCCTCACACGTTTCGTGGCCCCATAGGGAGCTCCACCGAGGGCCCCAGTGGCTGCGTTCGCATGGCGGCACCGCGCCCATTTCGGCACACCCCTCACACGTTTCGTGGCCCCATAGGGAGCTCCACCGAGGGCCCCAGTGGCTGCGTTCGCATGGCGGCACCGCACCCATTTCGGGACACCCCTCACACGTTTCGTGGCCCCATAGGGAGCTCCACCGAGGGCCCCAGTGGCTGCGTTCGCATGGCGGCACCGCACCCATTTCGGCACTCCTCTCACACGTTTCGTGGCCCCTTAGGGTGTTCCCTCTCATTCGCTCAACCTGCTTTGCGGTACTCGTAACTGCATATGGTTGGGTCCATCGCCAGGACAATGGTTGACGTCCCACCAGAAATGGTGCTCTGGCATGACTTCGGATTATCAGGGCGCATCAGTCACGTTGATACGCGGTGTTGGAGTCCCAGGGGTGGTGTTCTGGCACAGTGCATGATCGCCAGGACGCAACATTACAGTTGATTCGCCGCGTTGAAGTCCAAGGGGTGGTGTTTCGGCACGGTTGAAGATTCTCAGACGGTTGTCTTCCAACGGGGCATTTCCAGCAGTGAATATGTAGGGACCTAGAAGGAGGGAACTTTGAGGGAGGGTTCAATGAAACATCGTTGATGCGCCTTGGGTTTCCACTGGTCCTCCTCGTCCTCCTCGTCCTCCTCCTCCTCCTACCCCTCCTCCTCCTCCTCCCCCTCCTCCTCCCCCCTCCTCCTCCTCCTCCTCCTCCTCCTCCTCCTCCTCCTCCGCCTCCTCCTCCCTCCTCCACCTCCTCCTCCCTCCTCCTGCTCCTCCCCCCTCCCCTCCTCCTCCCTCCCTCCTCCTCCTCCTCCTCCCCTCCTCCTCCTCCTCCCTCCTTCCTCCTCCTGCTCCTCCCCCTCCTCCTTCTCCCCTCCTCCTCCTCCTCCTCCTCCTCCTCCTCCTCCTCCTCCTCCTCCTCCTCCCTTCCTCCCCCTCCTCCTCCCCCTCCCCGTCCCCCTCCCCCTCCTCCCCCTCCCCCTACTTTGGTGACTCGTCGCTCGGCGGCTCCTCCCTCCGCGAGGACGCGGCGAGGGCGGCCGGGGCGCAGGGCACGGCGGGCCTCGGGTGGCCAGCGGCGGGCGCGGCGCAGCCGCGGCCGATGTCCTTCCGCGAGGCCTCCTGGGGCGCGCCGCGCCTCCGGCAGGAGCCGGCCTCGCCCGAGCCATCGGTCTGGGCCTCCCAGATTTACGTCGGGCCTGTCCCCCTACAGGGGGATTTTCGACGAAAAATGAAAACTGTCCCCAAAATACCCCAAAAAGGTAACAAATATTCATAATATAGTCCCCAGACTATTTTTGGACCATTTTCGGAATATTTTTTGGAGGATTTTTAATTTTTCGTCGAAAATCCCCCTGTAGGGGGACAGGCCCGACTTAATCCTAGATGGGGTCCGAGCAGATATGGGGTCGGAGCCTCGCGCCGCATCGCCGGTGCATCGGCGGTGCGGCTCGATGTGGAGCCCGCGTTTCCCCACGCCGACGTCGCCGATGCATCGTAGATGTCGCCGATGCATCGCTGATGCATCGCCGATGCATCGCCGATGAGTTGGCGAATTATCGGCGATGTATCGACGATGTGCCGCGATCCTCCGATCTCATCTGCTCCGACCCCATCTCGGAGGCCTCTAATCGGGTGCTGCCAGAGCTCCGCCCTGGGGGGAAGCCCAGAGAGCCAACGCACTGACAAAAATCAGGACGGAGGTTTTCGCGATTTTCAGCCTCCAGGGGCCCTCGCTGGGCCCCAGGGCGGTCAAAAGACGACCCAGGATGAAAAGCCGGTCCCGGGGAATGGGTCGAGACTTCCGGGACCCCGTATGGAAAAGATCACGACGTGGGATGTTTTGGAACGGGTCCTGAGGGAACCGGGTCCTGAGCTTTTTCGCCGGTTTCGGGCTCTCGGGGCCCTCCACGGGCCCAGGGACTGTCAGAAGGCGCTTGAGGATGAAGATCTCGTCCTGGACCCGCTTCCCTCAGGACCTGCCTCCCCTGTGCCAGAAGTGCGCCTGTCCCGAGGTGCCCCCAGGGCTTTCCAAGGAGGGCCCCCGCGGCCTCCGGAGTCCCCGTCACGAGAGGGGCCCCAGGGGCTCCAGGGTGGAGCGCGAAGCTGGGGGCACCTGGGGCCACGGGCACCTGTGGCACAAGCCCCCGAAGACCTGCATGCGTCGGCCCCCGCCTCCTGGAGGAGGAGGAGGAGGAGGAGGAGGAGGAGGAGGAGGAGGAGGAGGAGGAGGAGGAGGAGGAGGATGAGGAGGAGGAGGAGGAGGATGGCAACGGCATGCACATCCGTGTTCGAAGCCTCGCGCGGACTCCTTGCCTCGGCGCTGGGGCCCCCCCACGGCGGCGCGGGCCCGAGCGGGGGCTTGTTGAGGCCGTCGGCGGCCCAGGGCTCCTTTCGGGAGCGGAAAAGAGGGGGGTGATGACTAGGGGGGGGTGGATTTCATGGCGCGGGCCATGATTTTTCCTCAGATTTCATGGCGCCTCTTCTTATTTCATTACGTCCCAGGCCCCCCCGCTGGGCCGCGCACATGCCGCCGGTCATGATTTGCGCCCCCCCCTCTTGGACACCCCCCTCTTGGCCGCTCCCGATCCTTGCTTGCCAGGCCGAAGGCTGAATTCCCGGAATTGGCGACCGGCTCGTCCAGAGCGTTGCCGAAGCTGTTCGGTAAGGGATGATCTGGGCATGCCAAAAACACCCAGAGATCCAGCGCGTTGGCAAACATCAGGACGGAGGTCTTTCACAACTTTCTGCCTCCAGGGGCCCCCTCCAGGCCCCAAGACCGTCGAAAAGCGAGTCAGGATGAAAAACCGGTCCAAGGGACTGGGTCGAGACTTCCGCGGGCCCCGCATGGAAAAAACACGAAATCGGAGCTTTGGGTTCGGCAACTGATGATCTGGGCATCCTGGAAAGAGGCGCCCCCGCGTAAGCGCTGGGTGTGGGAGCTCAGGGAAGAGGGCGGGGGCCAACGAATACACGTTTGGGTGATGCCGACATGAACTTTCGGAGGTCCGCGCGGATTTCTTGGATCGACGCGGGACCCTCTCCCCTGCGCGCGGAACGCACCAGGGGCGGCACCGGAGCGCGCCCCGTGACTTCGTTCCCGGAAGCTCGCCTCCCTCGGATTGCGACCGACATGTGGCGCGCCCGAGATCCGTCACCGAAGCGTTCTGGTCGCGGATGATCTGGGTGTCCCCCCCTCAGGAGGCCACATGCGAACCCTACCCTACCAGCCAACGATCTCTTGGGGGGGAGGTGTGGTTCACTTCTCTCGGGAGGTCCCGAGCGAAGTGAACCCCACCTCCCCCCTTTAGAGATCTTGGGATGGTGGGGTAGGGTTCGCATGTGGCCTCCTACCCCACACGACCCACCCGCGACCCACCCCGCCACCCGCCCCCCCGACCCACCCCACGACCCTCTCCGCGCCCGCACCCCGCACCCGCCCCCTCACTCCGAGGTGTCCGCAGCTGCGGGGTGCCGCGTAGCGATCTGCTGTGAGAGGCTTGTGCTACCTGCTCGGCGGAGGAGGAGGAGGAGGAGGAGGACCAGTGTAAACCCAAGGCTCATCAGCGATCTTGCAATCAGCCCTTCCTCCAAGTTCCTTCCTCACAGGCCACTACAAGGGTTCACTTTCACCGAGGGAGATGCCCCGTTGGAAGAAAACTATTTGAAAATCCTGAGCTATGCCAGAACACCATTCCTGTGACTTGAACGCCGCGAATCACCGTTACTGTTGCGTCTTGACGATCCTGAATCTTCCCAGAATGCGATTCCTGGGACGTCAACACCGCGAATCAACCTAACTGTTGCGCCCTGACATTCCGACGTCGTACCAAAACGGGGATGTCTCAGGCGGTTTGCTCGTTTTCATGCCCAACATCCTTTGCTTTCAGATCAGATTGTGAGGATGTCTCAGGCGGGGCGCCGGTTTCAGCGCCCTTAAGGGGATCCGCCAGGGGTGTTCTCACGGGCCCGTTAGCGGCCAGTTTGTGGGGATGTCTCAGGCGGTTTGCTCGCTCTCATGCCCGACATCCTTTGCTTTCAGAGCAGATTGTGAGGATGTCTCAGGCGGGGCGCTGGCTTCAGCACCCCCAAGGGGAACCGCCAGGGGTGTTCTCACGGGCTCGTTCGCGGCTAGTTTGTGGGGATGTCTCAGGCGGTTTGCTCGTTTTCATGCCCAACATCCTTGCTTTCAGAGCAGATTGTGAGGATGTCTCAGGCGGGGCGCTGGTTCCAGCACCCGTAAGGGGAGCCGCCAGGGGTGTTCTCACAGGCCTGTTCGCGGCCAGTTTGTGGGGATGTCTCAGGCGGTTTGCTCGTTTTCATGCCCAACACCATTTGCTTTCAGAGCAGATTGTGAGGATGTCTCAGGCGGGGCGCTGGTTTCAGCACCCCTAAAAGGGAGCGTGCGTAATTCCCAACCATCCTGTGGTGTTGGGTCCTCGTTTTGAAGAGACGGTGCCCCGCGTTCCTTCCTCCTCCCCCTCCTCCCCCTCCTTGCCTCTGCTCTCGGCACACCTCTCACGCGTTTCGTAGCCCCATAGGGAGCTCCACCGAAGGCCCCAGTGGGGGTGTTCGCATGCGGTTCCCCCACCCAGGGCAGCGTTTCGTGGCCCCATAGGGAGCTCCACCGAAGGCCCCAGTGGGGGTGTTCGCATGCGGTTCCCCCACCCAGGGCAGCGTTTCGTGGCCCCATAGGGAGCTGTGGGGGTGTTCGCATGCGGTTCGAAGGCCCACCGAGTGGGGGTGTTCGCATGCGGTTTCGTGCCCCATAGGGAGCTCCACCGAAGGCCCCAGTGGGGGTGTTCGCATGCGGTTCCCCCACCCAGGGCAGCGTTTCGTAGCCCCATAGGGAGCTCCACCGAAGGCCCCAGTGGGGGTGTTCGCATGCGGTTCCCCCACCCAGGGCAGCGTTTCGTGGCCCCATAGGGAGCTCCACCGAAGGCCCCAGTGGGGGTGTTCGCATGCGGTTCCCCCACCCAGGGCAGCGTTTCGTGGCCCCATAGGGAGCTCCACCGAAGGCCCCAGTGGGGGTGTTCGCATGCGGTTCCCCCACCCAGGGCAGCGTTTCGTAGCCCCATAGGGAGCTCCACCGAAGGCCCCAGTGGGGGTGTTCGCATGCGGTTCCCCCACCCAGGGCAGCGTTTCGTGGCCCCATAGGGAGCTCCACCGAAGGCCCCAGTGGGGGTGTTCGCATGCGGTTCCCCCACCCAGGGCAGCGTTTCGTGGCCCCATAGGGAGCTCCACCGAAGGCCCCAGTGGGGGTGTTCGCATGCGGTTCCCCCACCCAGGGCAGCGTTTCGTGGCCCCATAGGGAGCTCCACCGAAGGCCCCAGTGGGGGTGTTCGCATGCGGTTCCCCCACCCAGGGCAGCGTTTCGTGGCCCCATAGGGAGCTCCACCGAAGGCCCCAGTGGGGGTGTTCGCATGCGGTTCCCCCACCCAGGGCAGCGTTTCGTGGCCCCATAGGGAGCTCCACCGAAGGCCCCAGTGGGGGTGTTCGCATGCGGTTCCCCCACCCAGGGCAGCGTTTCGTAGCCCCATAGGGAGCTCCACCGAAGGCCCCAGTGGGGGTGTTCGCATGCGGTTCCCCCACCCAGGGCAGCGTTTCGTGGCCCCATAGGGAGCTCCACCGAAGGCCCCAGTGGGGGTGTTCGCATGCGGTTCCCCCACCCAGGCAGCGTTCGTAGCCCCATAGGGAGCTCCACCGAAGGCCCCAGTGGGGGTGTTCGCATGCGGTTCCCCCACCCAGGGCAGCGTTTCGTAGCCCCATAGGGAGCTCCACCGAAGGCCCCAGTGGGGGTGTTCGCATGCGGTTCCCCCACCCAGGGCAGCGTTTCGTGGCCCCATAGGGAGCTCCACCGAAGGCCCCAGTGGGGGTGTTCGCATGCGGTTCCCCCACCCAGGGCAGCGTTTCGTAGCCCCATAGGGAGCTCCACCGAAGGCCCCAGTGGGGGTGTTCGCATGCGGTTCCCCCACCCAGGGCAGCGTTTCGTGGCCCCATAGGGAGCTCCACCGAAGGCCCCAGTGGGGGTGTTCGCATGCGGTTCCCCCACCCAGGGCAGCGTTCGTGGCCCCATAGGGAGCTCCACCGAAGGCCCCAGTGGCTGCTCTCGCATGCGGTTCCCCCACCCAGGGCAGCGTTTCGTGG